CAAATTTGATCACCTAGAGCCACATTGAATGCAGCGCGCTACTAATTCCTCGTGTTTCCGAACACAGAAAAGTCACTCGAACGGCCAGGCGATAAGCCTTGTTTAGCATGGCATGTTGTATAGCCTCTATAAAATTTATGCCCTCCCCGCCGCCAATATGTTTCCCTTACCCACAATAGCACTGTCGGTCGACATAATTATATATACATGCTCATAATCTGTTATATATATATATATATATATATATATTTAATAAACTTTATCATGTGTCGTGGTGTGGTTGGGCCGCCGATGTGCGCTGTGGTTCCTGGCGCGCGTGTGTCTGTCCTGTCTGTTATTTAATAATATAGATCTATTATAATTCACTCCTGATATTTACGTATAATGGCAAGGGTGAATAAAGGTTTTTGTGTTATCCATGCACTCCTGATACTGGTAATGACTATAAGTACGACTATATTGCCAGGGATTGGTGATAACTGTGAGAGATAATAACATAAGTTTATAATAATATGACATTGTGTATACGTAAATTAGCATTGTGAAGTCGCAGTAGTAAAGTGCAAAAACAATTGTGATCAAGTAATACCTGTTATGAATCGGTGAGCGCACTAATAACGGGCTTTATGCATCCGTAGGAGTCGATATGTGAGTGCGCGTGATCACGGGGCAGACAAGCTAGAAGCCAGATTAAGAAGCCACATGTGAATCGCGCTGGTTTATGTAGTTCATAGAACATGAACGTTTGCATTATACAATCCGCACGCAAATAGGTTTCGTGCTCTTGACTGAGTTACAGGTGCGATTGTATGTGTCGCAGCTATCTGCCCCGGCAAGTTATTGCTCGGTCTTCACGTACGAATGTTATAGAATGGTCGTACGGCGTTATCCTCGCGCATGCGTAGACCATCGCTCGTGTCATGATGAGCCGCTCGGCGAAATTCGCGACAACGAATCAGTCATATCATGATCATATATCTGCATGGGGGTTTTAAAGTAATTATTTCAAACCGTCTTCCAGACCGTTCCCGTATTGTTCCGGCCACTACAATACTTATTGGTATTGCTTGTGTATCAGAAGTGTGCCAAGTAAGGCTAACGTGTCAGAAAACACGCGTACATCGTTATTTTCACAAATATATACAATGAACGAAATCTGTTAGTTTATACAGCGTGTAGACGCGGTTACATGATGCTGTCAATTGTTTCTCGCGAGACCCCGTCACCGTACTTTTACATGTTTGCTTGAATTAAGCACTAGATATGTTGCACTAGTCTAGAACCACTGTGTGACTTAATGAGATGCACATTAATTATATTTTGTCTGGTGGTTGCCGACTTCAATGGAATTTTTGCGACACGAACGAACGTGGCTGCATTATTTGCCATTTTATATACCATAACAGCATAGGGCCAGCGTATTTTTACACTAAAGTAATCAGTAACATGTTCGCTATTAGGTGAGACTATATTTCACTATATTTTTCTTGGTTAAGAAGTTAATTATTAAATAATTTCTTTAACTTTCCGCCCGATGGAGATACTGGAGACATAGAAGTATTACAGAGGAGTAGTCGCGGTGTTGCGTCAGCCTACGGTAGCTACAAACGGCTCCAAAGCAGAAGGTATAGAGGACGGTAGTAAATTAGAATCGAATATGTGGTGAGGTGATTAGAATGCTACTTGGTGAAAGAGTTAAATAGAATTAAAAAAATGTGTTATCGGGAATTGAGGACAAGATGGAATTAGACGGCATGGATTTAGAAGAGAGGAACAAAGTGACAGGGTTAGGGAGAGGAATAAATTTATGATGTTAGAAGAGCAGGTAAGGTTGAACAATATCAGTGTCAGAACGTCGCAAGTCGGCAACACGTGTTTGAAACATGCGCGCAGTAAACCGTTCCCGGGGGGTCAGTGCGCATTCCACACAGGCCAGCTATCACAATAGCGGAGCTTCCGCGCGGGCGAGCGGAGCACCATACTGAAGAAACAATGAATATGGTAACCCAGCGATTTTAGTTTTGATGGCGCGTCCGGCCGTATTTACGTACGTACGTCCGTGTACACACATGGGACCCAGCATATATGGACATGGGACAAGCAGATACCAGTCTGTGGTGTCACACTCCTCTGGTTCGTTTTACAAGATTTGATTTAGTCTAGTTGACAATATCTTTAATGCAAAATTGCTATTTTCTCACCACCTTGCCGATAAAACGTCTATAGTATAGTAAGGTTATATAAAACATGTAGGAAAGCTCTATAACCAATTTATTTCCAACGTCATCGCTAACAAAACTAAAAGCGTGTATACCGTCACAATTCATTTTGGTTTCTCATTGCGATATTATAATATAATATTATCAGGAGTGTATAATAGCGGAGCTTCGACCCGCGTGAGCGGAGCACCATACTTAAGAAAAAATCGATATGGTAACTCATCGACTTCATTTTTGATGGCGTGTCCGTCCGTCCGTACATATACGTACGTACGTCCGTGTACACATGGAAACCCTGTGGTACCACCTAGAAAAAATTCATATCTCAAGAAGTAAACACTTCCACACAACCAACCTTTGACAAAAGGTGTCTTAGGGGAAGGGGGGGAGGGGTAACACCATTGTCACGTGATATGACGTCATCACTGACGATGATACAGCAAGTTGCACAATAAGCCTATCCTCTTCTTACGGGTTGCCTATCGTGGATTATCCTGGAGTCACCTATCGGGAGCTCCGCTTTTAGGCGGTGCCTAAATCTAAATATTATTATTCAGTCAGGTATACATTTGGGGAAAGCTTTCTGTATGCCATCTACGTGTGTAGCTAATACTAGCTGTACTAATATCATCTCTTAGGGAACTCACAAATGAATATCACGCAAATATGACTGAACTGAGTGAGTATCATGGGGTGGGGACTGGCACTTCAGTCTGTCGATGTTGTTTAGTGTATACGTACTAGTTGTTATAGTATCGTCGTGTTTTCAGTTGCTGACCAAGCAAAGGCAAGAAGGCTGACCAATGTATATTTGTATGTAGGGAGTTAAAGAAATATTGAGTCATTGAATGTACTCATGTATTTTACAATTGTAGTATACAGAACAGGCCAATGTTTATAAACATTTTGTCAAGTTGGGACATATTTTTGCACTTGATGACATATCATTCCAGACCCCCACATCCCCTATTTTATAAGTGTATCTTAGATGCATCCATGCGAACGCGCGCGTAGCAGTTCTTTGCCTCACATTTACGCCTATCCGTTAAGGTGATGATATCTCTGTCGCTCACTCTCCATCTCTCTCTCAGTAATTTCGAAGGCCAACCGCGACGCTGTCTTGTTTTTGGAGACAGCGTGTGAAAACGCTTGAACGACGTCAGGTGCGAAATGTCAGCACATTTAGAACGCAGTCAGAAGACAAGATTTCGTCACATAACGGGCGAGATCGCGCAACGCGGGCGCTCCAAGCGACCAACAGCTAAACTAACCAACCCCACATCATATATAGGAGGTTATCATCTCCCACGCCCCCTTTCCCCTTCTCGAGCTACACGTGGCGAATGAACGAATGTACGAGAACGTGACCGCTGTTAGATGGATTGAATGAATTATTATCCAGGCTTACGCTTGGGCAGTAAAATACCTGTAACTTGTATTGTAGTCTTATCGTGTTGGACGTTATACTTTTTACTCGAATTTATAGAGAATATCGTTGCATGCCGTTTACCGTATAAGATAGTAGAAATCAATATGATTTCGTTTATACACGTATATAGGTGTCTATTTGGGGAACACGGGTGTAAACTAGTATTTCAAATATGAGGAGCGATCTCACATTTTTTGGATGAAATTTTACTCGGCTGTTAACGATATAGCTGTGATCTGAAAATACTGCGCGAGGTGTGTCAGAAATAACTGATACTGTTGAGGTATTTCGACGAAGTAATCGCATATATTAGTTAATGAAGCCAATTACCATACCCCTTTGTTACTCGCCCGAAGAAAATAGAGCTATTGTACAATGTCTTTGCCTCCGCCGAAGAGATAGGCCTACGGTTTGCAATATGTCTAGAGCTAGTTCTAAAATTCCATTTCCGTTTTGCAAATAACTTGGCATTGTCCAACGCTTGATTGTCACGACTCGATATAGGCTTGACTAACAATTTATCCAAGTTTTCACTTCGCTCTGAAAATGTATTTTTGGAAATCGCCATAGCATTTTGAGTGAGCACGAAAATGTATAAGCTCACAGGGGACGGATGAATCTGCAATCCGTGGATATCATAACAATAAACAGGCGCTCACGGGTGACTTAGCGAAGTCGTGTCATGATAATGGATGGCGCTAGGGAGCCATTGTCGCCACAGAGAACGCGGGAACTTCACACTATTGTGCGATTACCCGAACCCTCTCTAGTTTCCTGTTACCCCCAAATTTCCACATACTAGTAACATCCAAACATATCCACGTACTTAGTACGTGGCATATGCTTAGTGTTTATCTGATTGGATAGCAGATGCTATTTTTATCTTTTGATGTATTTAAAAAATTGTTATGATGGTGCTGTTTTTTCCATGTAATTTCCCCGATGTATCTTCTTGAATTGTGTATTGTGTGTTTTTATTTGGCACACGTGACGTGTCAACAACACAGGACCAACGGCCAGACCCGCCACCCACTAACGTCATTTCGTTTCTTTGTGTAGACATTGTAATATCGCTTTTGCTTTTAATTCAAGGTATTTGGTGATGCACTTGCTTTCACTTTAGGTATTATTCACTTTGCTTAAGCAAGTATCGTCCTTTGTTGTTGTAACAATTTCACCTTAACTATGTTTTGTGGAGCGTGACTAAATAAAATGCACTGAAAATAAATGCTTGTTCGTGATTTCGTTTAATTTAGATTATTGAAGATTTTAATGAACTGTGAATTTATAGTCCATTAACAATTATCGACAAAAATGATGTAAAACGCATTTAATAAAACAACACCTTCAAATTAATACATACAGCTACATATACTTTTATTATTTTTTGTACAATAATATGTACAAAACAACCACCGCACATAACTCGTAACACATAGAAGAAACGTTGTAGAATCGATTAACTTAATTGTTAATAAGGGGAAAGAATAGTTTAAATAAAGACAACTGTAAAATTTATTAAGATATTTCATAGTCACAGCACAATACCAGTTGCGGCCATGTTGCTAATCAATAATGTAATTCACGAATTGGGAAACCAGCCCTTTTATAACTGCAAATAACCACAACTCCGATTAAAGGCTGACACGTGTCTGTCGAAACTTACAACAATTATGGTTGTCTTTGGATTTGTCAATCTAATCTATGAACTTGTGAGATACATGTAGCTACATGCACAAGTCTCGGGTTATAACTCGATAGGAATGACTGTGGTGTATGTGAGGTGCGGTAGTTCATTGGTAGGAATGACTGTGGTGTATGTGAGGTGCGGTTGTTCATTGTTAGGAATGACTGTGGTGTATGTGAGGTGCGGTATTTTATTGGTAGTGATTTCAGGTTGGCGTTGTGAGTATCTACCTCCTACCTATCTCGACGCAAAGTTAGTCTAAGCATTTTCTATGTAATTTTAAAGTGCAAAGTTGGAGGGGTCGTTGCCTACTGATCACGGGGGAAAACAAGTGAGGTAGCATCAGAAAGGCAGGCTTGGCTCATTTCGGCACTGATACCGGTACGGAACATCGTGAAATAACATGTAAATCCCGTGGCCTGCGGATGGGAGTCGGCGTGATACATTCAGAGCAACATGGCATCCAGTGTGCTTGCTACGCTACATGGTGGGAACATAAAAAGGCTTCTCTATCTTTTGCTACTACGACTTATCAGTGCAACATTGTAGAAATATCTCTCTAGTAGGATGTGTACAAAATTCACAACTAAAACCCAAATGGAAGAACTGCATAAATAGGCAGTATTATTTCATATATTACCTTTAAAGTAAAGGCGATTAAAATTGACAACACTCCCGTCTTCACTCAATCCATCATCGTGTAAGTATTCGTATATATTATATATACATAGAAATCTTTTCAGATTTTACTTAATAAAATTGGTCTTTTAGATACTGCTAATAATCACTTTAATAGTGAAACACACTGCTTCTAACAGCTGTAATAATAAATCTCTTTATAGTCATTCACCCCATGGAATCCGCGCGTAATCATGGCTCCATCGACTCGTTCCTGGCGGGCGGCCATCGCAACAAAAGTAAGACGGGGGTCCTCCTCAATAGATGTGCATTATTATTACATAACTCTCTCCTCACGTCGCACCTCGATTGTGCGTACCAACCGCCCTGTACCTCTGAATCTATCTGCCGGTAGTTGTGGTTTAAGCTGGACCCTGAACAAGTGTACCGTAGACGCCGCGCTTCGCATAGGCTGTGGGCCATGAGGTGCTAACTTGCTAAGTACCCGTCACAAGACATGTCCGCGACGTAGCGACCACCTGACAGATGGCGCCACGTCCCTCACTCGGATAATGTGTAACCGAGTCGTCTATCAATTAGGATGTCCACTGGATCACACCTAGCTAACTTCGCTAGACTATATTTATATAAATATATAGAAAAAACTACTAGCGTCGTCTAAGCCCTGCAGTTGTCAATGTCCGTATTTAGCTAACTAATGTCGAACATTGTATATGTGTGTGTATATCACACCTGCTTGCATTTCAGTCCACAACAGCTACGGCATGGTATGAAATTCAACACCAGAGAATGAAATATTTAAAACGTAACTATATTATTAATATATATATATATATATGGGATTCAGTCCTAGCATGGGATGTTAACTGGCAGCTGAGTTGTGCCCGTTAAAACATCGCACAGTTTACGATAGGGAACGGTCGGCGAAATGCTTTTATATTCGCCCATAAAAATTATATAGAAATTACATAGATGACAATAAATTATGTCATGATCGTAACAACTAAGCTATATTCATAAAGACGTGATCTACCTCATCACATAGTCAACTGCATACCACGCTTCTTTCGAATATTTGAAAGCCCAAACATGTGTTGGGGGTTAAACTCAATAATGATTAAAACGTACCCTTATAAATACCATATATACACATAATGCATATAATGTATGTATGTCTTTTTATAGTAATATATACATGGCTGCGGACTTGAAATTTAACAAAATAGTAATTGTCTCGTATATTTCATTATGTTCTGATACTTATCGGTTTCCACTAAACGGGAATTCGAACACTAAATTATAAAAGAAATCACCATTCTTTTGCTGTTTAGAGTACGGCGATCGAACTTAAAAATAGTATAATGCAGTATTATGGCTGGAAAATGAACCAATGATTATAGCAACTTGATTACAATAACAATGACCGTTATATAATTTCTGAAATACATTCCTTGAAATTATTCTGTATAGAAATAACCTCCGTGTGTCCATTTTATATGGAAAACAATAGAAAAGGGACAATATCGTAGATATGGTGGTACTGTATATATAGGTATACCCTGAAGAAAAAGCTACACTGATACATCTACACTATGCGCACACTCGCCCCTCACCTGTTAACCAGGTGACTATGATTCTTGTACGCACAACGTATGGTTTGAAGCTCTTTATTTGGGCGCGAATCAAACGCCATTCACCATTGTTACGACACATCCACATGCGACAGTGGTATATATACCTATATGTACCTATATGTACACAAAGCACCAATGTAAATGGAATTGTACACAGCACGCCGAAAATATCAACTGTACATATATAGAATTTAATAGGGAATATGTTGTAAACCAGGCTGCTCGTGCGGGTACATGATTGCGGAGGCGCCAGTCACACTCATGTGTTCTCTCATCCTCGCTATTTCGCTCCACCTGTCTACCGAGCTCAACGCAAACAAGCACGCCAGGACGGACGACATCGACCAAGATGACGCCCACACACTCTCGACTGCATGCTCTCGGTATCAATCCAACAAGACATTTAACTATGGAGAAGAGGTGGAAGTATAGACATAAGTAAAACACTTATTTAGCATCGATATATGAACAGTGTCGAGTGACATGGCATATGCGTTTCGATATCTACCCACAAGAAACCAATGATTCGACTGTTAAGACACGAGGATATGATAAAGTACATCTTTATTCTATGCTAACCGCGAAACGTCAGCAGCACAAGAGGATGGCCCAGCGTTGAAATAAAAACGGCGCCATCTACATGTATATGCGCCCACCACTCTCGTGCTGCCCTATGCAAACTATGTCATCACGCTACGGGGTCTTGGTTGAACAGTGGATCCGCTAAATACTATGTGGCCTACGATAACAAGGTTTCGCTCCTACGGTATGACGCAAAATCTGTAGTCGTTGAGGCACTTTCCCGGCACTGTCTTCCCCACAGCATAACATTACTGCCGAATCTCGAACTGACGCGTCCGCATCGCAACGTCGATTCTCGATTCGACCCCACAAGATAAAATATAACCAACCGCAAGCGAATTTTCGCCCTTCGCATTTTACACTATAGGATTTAGTTTTAATTCCACTTATTACAATACCCTCGCGTTTTCACAATATCGTCGACGTTAACGGACGGCAATCGCGTGAGGACGTGACATAAACTAATAGCATCAGCACCTCTACGCTCAGTGTGTCGGCATGAGAGTCTGATGTTTCATCGGTGAATTGCCCGAGACATCACAGCATCTCGGAGACGGACTACGCTTAATTGACTCTTCCATGATGCTCCTCGTTCGTGCGAACACAAGCTGTCGTCTTGGCTCGCCATCGCTCGTACTTTTCAGCCTCCGATTTTCCCTGAGACTTGCAAATGTAGATTTTTGGGTCTCCCTGACATCACAAACGACTTGGTTGGTGTTGGTATTGGGAACATGGGGTGGGTCGCGGGCGTGAGACCTATTAGAGACACACAAGGAATTGAGCCTCACCGTGGCTTTGATCTGCGTGCCGTATTTTAGACATAGCCTGACGTCAGGAAGTGTGATGGATGGATGCTTCCCTATTCGCCTGTTTCTGTTGCTCATAACCAAGTCCCTTACTCATCATTGCTCGTCTAGCAATATGACCGTCTGCAATCGATAATTAATAGATATGAACAAGAGCTAATAATTAAGGTGTTATTAGCTCAGGATATGAATTATAGTCTAGTCGGAGGGTGTATTTGTTTTATTCATTCTGACACTGGAGTTAAAAAGCTAGATATCACTCTTTCATACCTACTTTATTTTCTCTTTCCTCTCACTTTCGCATCTCAATGGATTCTCTCTCCTTACCCTTCTCCAACTATCTATCCCTGTTCCCTCTCTCGCCCTCATCTATTCAACTCCCATTGTCTCTCGTATGTACTCACTGTGCGATAGCTTCAATCTTGTTCGACTATACTGCAGAGATCGTTTTCTACGGCCATGCGGCTCTGAGTGAACGACGGCGGCTCACTCCCTGACCGCCGTTTCAGTAACTGAAACATAACGCAAACAGTCCTCGATGCTTGAACTAGGTTTTTCGAAGCAGAGAAACGATTCACGTGCATGTATCGCATTATAATCTTAGGCTCAGCCCCTGAGCTGTATATACTAACTTTGGCTGATTATAATTAATATTCATTAAATTCACCTATTTTCGTATGGCCGTTTTTGTAATGCGTATGACCTCAGTTATGGACCATTAGAAAAGGTCGTTTCCGTCCCAGAGTTACATGGTTCAGTTGTTCAGGGGTTGGTGTGTTTTTTAATAGTAGCGGGTGGTTTACAAATTTACGTGGCTACCATACACGCATGGACAGGGCAAATTTCTCCTTTCCGCTAAATTTGCCTCATTGACTACCGCCTAGATCCATTACATCAACGAAACACTCATCCATTGGTCGGGTACTTTGCTAGTTACGTCCATATGTACAGCTCAGTGGGTTCAGCCATAGACTAAGAATATCCTAAAGAGATACATACCCATAAGTTCCTTACATATTTTCAGTTAAAATGTGTTTAAATTACGGTACATAAAATTGTTCAATGTTCAATATTTATTGGAAATATATTTTAAACGTTTTAAAACTGACGGCCACTGTTTTCTTACAACGACGGTGGCGTTCCTAAGCGCATCTACTGACAAAGGTTGTGCAGCGCAACTTTTCGGCTACAGGCTATGGACCGAGGGTGTCTCTTATTTATTAATTTAAGAGAAGAATGAGTGCAATAATAAATAATATAATTAATTAATTAATAATGATAAACCACTATTAGTTTCAGTTATAATATAGACGAATGTTGTATTAAAATAGAAATCAGGTATAAATATAATTGCACCTTTGTAATTAGCCCTCGGTCTGTAACATGCAAATTAAATTGGTAGAATCACAACTTTGTCAGGGTGGTAGCATAATTGCGCGTTGTCATGTCAGCGGTCAAAAATAAATATTTCGCTCACTGATGTTTTATGACAAATGTGAATGCGCCAATAGAAATTTGTAGGTATATGCTAATATTTATGCACTCACTATCTGTTGCGGAGATTTTTTAATTAAAAAAAACATGTACTTACTTGTCATTTCTTAAAGAGGCCGAATAGTTTAAGCTTGTTGTTGTTGTGTGGCGCCATTAACATTGTCACCTGATTTTTGTGTGTTATATGGATCTGCAAAGGAAAAGAAAAGAATACATAAGTGATAAGAGAAATAAATAAGTAAGATCAAACACAGGAACAAATAGCTGTAGCAACTATTGCTGGATCGAGATTTTCGTATCTACGAGTTCCATGTACAAATAAATAATAATATTATTATATTATAAGTAATATAAATCACAAATTTATCTATTTCTATATATATATCTGCATATCTATAGCTATATCTTTCCCTCTCCCTCACCCTCTCCATCTCGCTCTTCCTCTCTCTCTGCCTAGCTCTCCCCTCTCCTCTCCTCCTCTCTGACTCCCGCTCCATCTCCACCTCTCTCTCATCCTCTCTTCCTCCCTCCATATATATATATATATATACATAAAGTAATACATCAGGGTGACACCTACTGTGCAAGGAGGCTGCATCCATGGTTCACCATCAATCTGCATTGGAAATCGTTGCCTGGTTCTGTAACCAAAACAAATACAGCTAAGATATACAATGACGAACATCTGTGACACTACATAACGGTAACCACACATACATGTAATCGAAACGACTACAATATTTAACTAATATGATTTTAAGACATGCGCGTACTGTATATGCCTAGCTAATAATGGTAAAGTATGCTACTATTCTTCTGCAAATCTCAAATTTGATAAATGACCTTATAGATGTACTATACATTGTAACTTCTTTGATTCGATGGTAAGTTTACTTTGTAAACATTGCCAACCTATGTAGCGAGCTGGCTAAGTATGGATTTCGTGTATTAATCTGACTGTTACAGGGCGGAGCTACATCAATGCTGGAAATCCGATGTAAGAGCTTAAGATGTGCTAAGAAGAACAGGTTGAGTTTAGTTTATCTGTAACTGTTGTCTTCTCTCTCATTTCTCATTGCTGTATTATCTCTTTGCGCTATGAAAAGGATGGAAACATGGTGTCAGCAGCGCAAGACGTTGTTCTGAATGCATTAACTGTGAGTAAACTGAACAGAAATGACGTGAAGTCTTTGTCCGATTGTTCCGAGTCTGACAACCACGGTTCCCATCGCCAACCCCGGCCGTGAGTCTCACTCTCACTGTCTCAGCGTTAATAAGGAGATACTCGAGCTTTTGCACGGGTATTGCTCTTATGAAGAGTAAACGTTTATTGACAAATGAATCGTATCAATCACACGTTTTATTTATAGATAAGATGTTTCTCTATGCTCAAAGCAAGAAATTTCATGAAATTTCTAGCCCCTAATTACGCGACAACATAAATTTTAAATTTGTATGCAAAAATGGTATTTGGTATATTTCTCAGTAAGATAAGAGATTATGAAAGCAAAATGTACGCTACAAGTTAAGCCCAATATGCACCAAAATAGCGCGTCAGGATTTTTCTTACTTTCATATTTACCGGAAAAAATGAAAGAAACTACCTAATCTAGACAAATATATTGGTTCTGCCAAGCATGTAATTTCAAGGTGATGGACACCCTGTTATTTATTCGGAACGTAAAAGATGATATCGAGAAAATGAAAGCTGAACTATCATCCATGAAAACTCAACTTAAAATTAAATGTCACACAAATTTGAGGCAGAGCTTATAAAACCAAATCAAGCTGCCAGGAAGTCGATGCTATATGATTGGCGACAAAATAGCTGATATTACAAACGTCAGTGATAGTACATCGATGATAAAAAAAATCAGCAATAACCAACCAAGTCAAACAGGCAGTCCAGGAACAGAAAGCGAAGATCCATAAACAAGAGAGACGTAAAAACTTCTCACAACAGACAGAATGAGGAAGGGCACATATTTCTTATGGACACAGCTAACTCAGTTGGCCTATGTATTAAAGCACAGATTAAGCCTGAGATCATTGAGATACCTGAGAGGCTAGACACGAAACAGACCGAAGGATGAAAATCCAGATCAATAAGAATAAAATTCAAAACTTTAGATCTGAAGAAAAGCTTATTTAGGCACGTAAGTAGATTAGCTGCGTCAACAATAGAAGAGCACAAAGGTATAAATATTTACCATGATCAGACAAAATCACAAGAAGAAGACAAGAAGATGAATGCAGCAGCCAAAAGAAGGAGAAGGAAGAGAAGCCCGATTCCCATTTCATCTACAGAGTAAGAGCCTCCGTGGAAATGTACAATAAAACAAATACAAAAGAAAGAGTAGATCCCAGGAAATCTGGAAAGAAACCTACACGAAGTGTCCATAATGTAAATACGTTGTCATTTGATAAACCGATCTGTATATATATATATAGATAAAGTTATACGGAAGATAAAGTTATACGGACACGGTAGAAATTTTGACTCGGTTTATTGCATACAGAACTGTTTCGTGTGGAGCGAAAGTTCCACACTCATCAGTGCCTAATACAGAGTGATCTATTTAGAACATCCCGAGCAGTATAAAAACATCATGCATAATGTGATCTATTGTTCATGCGTGCGCGTTCTAAAGAAATACCATAGATACTAATTAACGCGTCATTGTCGGTGACTGCTGCGCGCTGGCGCTAAACTGAATTCATTGCAAGAGTTTACATAACGTTCCTTAATATGTTCTACATATTGTGCAAACCTGAGATAGCGACACTGAACAAGAGAAACGAACTTGTTAGTAAATGCAGACATAAAGATAAATTTTTATTAAGGAACGTTATGTAAACTCTTGCAATGAATTCAGTTTAGCGCCAGCGCGCAGCAGTCACCGACAATGACGCGTTAATTAGTATCTATGGTATTTCTTTAGAACGCTCACGCATGAACAATAGATCACATTATGCATGATGTTTTTATACTGCTCGGGATGTTCTAAATAGATCACTCTGTATTAGGCACTGATGAGTGTGGAGCTTTCGCTCCACACGAAACAGTTCTGTATGCAATAAACAGAGTCAAAATTTCTACCGTGTCCGTATAACTTTATCTATATTTGCTCTACTCATGGTAGTATTGAGCACTCTCGACACACGAGTTCATAAACAACCATTGTAATCTATATATATATACAAATGCTGACTCCCTCTCCAATAAAATGACTGAGTTAAAAACAATTGCCAGTATTGATAACCCACATATCATTGAAATAACTAAAATTAAACCTAAGAACTATTGAGACATTACATTGGTGGACTTCAAATTTAATGAATATGTGATCAGTGATGCATCATACAGATGTGGCCAGCAGGCTAGGGAGAGGAGTAAATTATGCTCCTGAATCAATGACATTAAAATACTTATCGAGTATCAGGAGTCATGCTGGATTAAAATAAACCACACAAATAGTGACAAACTCTTAATAAGTTACCTATATAGGAGTGATAGCGGGTCACAAGAAAACAACAACACACGGCTGGATGTATTCTACAACTTAACTAGAGCACTCGGAGAGCACAGACCTCCGCCAAGGCAGCTGAATTCTTTCAATGTGAATTTTTTTATTAATTAGTTAATTAATTAAGTGGAAAAATTAATTAATTAATTAATTAATTAGATCCGGATTAGTGCGAGCGTGCAGGTGGGGGAGGACTGTGGTTGCCCCTTAGCCTGTGGTTGCGTGTTTGTAAGTCTACAGCCAGCGCACCTAGCGGAAGTGAACTGAAACGTGCATGAGTTAACAAGCCCACAAACACACAAACCAACACTCAAACACACGCCGGTGAAAACATAACCCCCGCCAAGCCCCTGGCGGAGGAAACTACTAAACTGTAACATTGAGATAGATAGTAATCAAAGAAACGAAATTCTCATACGATAAACGTAGTTTCCCAACTATGAACAGCAGTATGGTGTTAGACTGGCCTAACTACTTTAAAGATTGCAGTGATGGCGTAAATCTATATAGTAATACTATATAGTTCCCTATCGATGAGAAAACTTGAAAAGAAATAGGTAACAAACATAGGGCATGGGAGAAGGCTTACACTACCAAGTTGGAAAGCTTCAGGATAATTATAACAGGCAGCTAGAGGAACAAAGTGCGGAAATTCAATAAAAGGCTACGCATGTATTACGAGAAGTATATGGCTAGGGAAGCCAAGTCGAACCCGAAGCGTTTTTTGCAATATATTCAAATGTTGCTCCAGGACCGTAGGGTGCGCAAATTCTTAGGGGGGGGCAACATTTCATGACTCAACTGTGTAATGATGAGCGACGGAGGCAGCTCTTGAACGACGTCAATAGTGTAGTAGGGGTGGGTCTGAGACAAAGTGATAAGTATCTCACGTATAAGTGACCAGAAAAATCACCTTCGGGTTATTTACGATTATTAGCTAAGCTCGTTTTTTAAATTTTGCTCCAAAATCTAAGGGACAGATGCCACCTTGCACCCCCCCCCTACACACACGCGCGCGCGCGCACGCATGCACACACGCATGCACACACGCACGCACGTACGCACGCACGCACGCACCCTAATACTGACGAGCAGTTGACATCCAGTGACAACCAAAAGGCAGAAATACTTGTTAATTATTTTAGTAGTGTGTTCACTAAGGAACCAGAGGGAGACATACCTAGAATTGATGATAGCCAGGCGGACAAGATTATCAGCGACTTGAAATTTAGCAAGACGATGGGCCTTATTACAGCAATCCATAAGAAAGGAAAACCAAAGTGTCTACCTCTTACGCTTGCAAAGATATCGAGCGGACAGATACACACACACACAAACACACACCGCCACACCGCCACATACAAACGAGCACGAAAACAATATCCTCCGCTGCACTACGTGCGGAGGATAATGAAAACACAAGCATATCTTGGCAACTAAATGGTGATTTTCTGCCAAAGCTATATTAAATGACATTGGGGATTGGAAGGATGAACTCCGAGCGTTAATGATGTACCTTATGGTGACAGAAGAACACTGGGCCAGACGCCTGCCTGATGCACGCAAGCCGGTGCGAACTTGTGCCGCATGCAGAGCATTCTCCAGTCCCACCACCTCAATCTGCTTGTCACCAATGTCTGCAATTCCAAAGTACTATTGAGTATATGTACATCTAATGCGTATACAACTATAGGTATTCTATTCTCGTACTCTCTCCCACTATCTCTGGCTCTACCTCTTTCCCTGTCTGCCTTTCTCACGTTCGTCCTCTCTCACTCTCCCTCGCTCGCTCTTTCTCTCTCTCTCTCTCTCTTTCTTTCTCTCTCTTTCTCTCTCTCTTTCGCTCTTTCTATGCCTGTGTCCATCAGTCTCTGTGTAGGTCTCTCTCTCTATCACGTGCTTTTTTGTTCACTCTCACTCTGTCACTTGATATCTGTCTCTGTCCTTCTCGCTCTCTCTGTCTCGGGGTCCGTCACTCTCTCTCTCTCTCTCTCCCTCTCTCTCTCTCTCTCTATCACTGTCTCTGTTACTCACTTTCCTTCTAATTCTCGCTCTCCCCTCTCTTTCTTTCTCTCTTAATCTCTGTCTCTCTTGCAGACTTTCTATCTTTCTCGCTCTCTTTGTCTCTCTATTCGTCTCTCTTTCCCTCTGCTTCTGCATCTCTCTGTTTCTGCCTCTCGCTATCACTCTCTCACTATCTCACTCTCACTCTCTTTGTATAAGTTTCTCTCTCTCTTTCGCATGCACCCTTATTTCTCGCTATATATATATATATCTATCGCTCGCTTTCTCTGCATATATCTCTCTTTCTGTCTGGCTGCCTATTTCTCTCTCACGCACACACACACGCGCACACACACAGCAACATACGATTGCCGATTATGACACACACCTTGTAGAGTGAAATTGGCATCACCCGATGATATGCTGTTGGATGAAATGTCGCGATCCTTGTCCCGTTTCTTTTGGCTCTTAGATGTCTTGCCGCGCTTGCGCACGCCGGGGTTGTCGCCCCAGAGGTTCGACCCTCCATAGATGCTTGGTATGTTGAGGATTCCGATACACTCCAGTGAGGGACCACTCGCCAGATCCAGAGACACGCCGTCACACTGTCACAGAGATGGAACACAATATGTAGATGCAGTATATCATAACTAGGCAATGCAGTAACATATCGGGCAATTCTAATGATGTGATGTATGAGCCTTACTTTTATACTCTCATGCCTCACTCTTATACTCTCATGCCTCACTCTTATACTCTCATGTCTCACTCTTATACTCTCATGTCTCACTCTTATACTCTCATGTCTCACTCTTATACTCTCATGCCTCACTCTTATACTCTCATGCCTCACTCTTATACTCACATGCCCTCTTTACATATCCTCATGCCTAACTCGTATACACGCATACATAATTCATACTCTCGTGTCTCGCTCTCATAGTCTCGTCTCACTCATACACTCATATAACACACTTATATACACAATATGTCTGAATCGATATCAAAAATCACCATTCCTCTCACACATTCACTGACATTCCACATGCATATAGACGCATGTCTCTCTCGTATAGTCGCATGCCTGAGTGTCAGTCACGAACGCACCATGATATCGATCTTATCGTGTAGATTCTTGCATGTGGCTGAGAATGTCTCTGACGTGCCGAACTCAAAGTACCACAGCTTGTTCTTCATGCGGCTGCTAAACTTCTCCGGGTGCTTCTCCCTCATTATGTGAAACCTATGCGCTATCGAAGCATCCTGCGGGATTGCAGTGACTTAAGCTAGTTACCAGAAGCAATGTGCGCGCCAATGGGCATAGAAATTGGTTGACAATAATTTTGGCAAAGATGGAGCTGGCTCCAAAGTCTCGATTCTTATAGAGAAGTAACTGATGTGAGGTTGGCAGAGATGAAGTTAGTCTCTCTGACAAGGAAAATACATAATGATACTCACAACTCCAATAGAGAAATAATTAGTAATGATGTTGGCAGGGATAGGGTCGCCTTTCTCTTCGTCACCTCTCTCGGCCGAGGAGAACTCGATGTTCCACCGGTCCAGCTGAACAGGCGTCGATCGCTCAATCTTCTTCAGGAATTTGATTAAATTTTCACCTTCGTATCCTGTATTATGAAGTGCAAAAAAAATCTTGTTATATGTTAGCATTAATACACCGCCCGCGATCCTGTTAACATTGTAGATGCCTCGAATGTCACCATAATCTTACTATAAGCATAGTAACCGTGAGCTTAATGCTCACCCTAAGCTTATCCTAACTCGACCTCCTACCCTAAGTTTACCCTTACCTGATCCCTAACCCTTACCCTATCCATAGCCTTACCTGCATTATATTCCTAATCCTAAAGCAATATTATCTTAATCACAAACCTAACCTAACCCTAACCATAACACTGTTAAGGATACAGTTAGGGTTTCGGACAGGTACCTCTGTAAAGGGCATTGCAGCATAACTGCTCATCAAATTCAATCAAACTGAATATGACCTAACAACCCGGAATGTATTCTTAATAATCAATGTGATGACCGTCCTGGACCAGCATACTCGGCGACTACTTTTCCAACTGGCCGTATATTTATTGCCGAGTGTACGTGTGCACAAACCTCCGCCCCACCGTAGACACCGCGCGAGATCGTTGCCTGTTCCGAGCGGAAGGATGGCTACCTGCACCTTCTGACCGCTCTGCTCCAGATTCATCTTATCTGAAACAGACACGAGTGTTGTTTTCACTATTTAAATCTTTTGACGTTGCTGACTGTCATTTCACAATCACTCTAGAACGCGATGCGTCACGTTATTTGTATTTCTTGGTAACACTAGCGTCGAGTGTAACGGCAGGTGCAGTGCTGCTTAGTGCCCGACATTAGCATGAGTTTGTCAATATTAGTCGCGTGTATTTTCATTAGATAAGGATATATTATTCATCTAGGACTACTGTAACCGCTGTATTTCTCAAGTAAACAAATGCTCTGCCAAAAAAATGTTACCGAATATCCTAGAGATTTAACCCATGAATTGGATTTGAAATTAGCCCAAGGCTGCAACGAGAGTCGCAAAATCGCCATCGTTCAAAACCTATCGCTAACAGCACCTCCACCGGGCACAGTAACGCATTGTTATAGTAGTTAGTAATAACAGGCTATACGCCCTTCTCTCTCACACAGTCACGTTCACACAGTTACAAAGTCTCGGGATCAGAAGTACAGCCAAGAAAAATGATCAGCGAGTGATAAAGATCCTACCCATCGTCTCCAGCACCCATCCTATTGTGCCATCGCCACCAGCGCACAGCACCCTAAACTCGGGAACGTCCTTGAAGAACTGGAAGCCAGGCATCGGGCCGGTCTTGGCCAAGTTGAACACCTGTCGTGGGTTCAGCAGGTACTGGAACTTGCGTAGGATGCGACTCCCCTGCTTGCCACCACTTTTCGGGTTGATGAAGACGAGTAGGGGATGCGTGCCGGGCTGCGGGGTTATCTGGAACTACAGTCATGGCGATGCGAAAATTAAAGATGTGCTACGGCACCAGCAAGAAATAGTTACTCACTCTCCTTCATAGACTTGGGTTAGGAATATTTCATAGCTCAGTCTCCCTCTCATTCTGAGGGAGTATGCTATAGCTGTACAATACCCCAGACCACTGACAAGTCTCGAAATAGTATTATAGTGTGGCACTACAAACGTGTACCGGTACAATTCGGTGCGGGGATACGATCAGGTTCATAAGTCATTCTTTGTAATTGGTGCAAGGATTAGCGCACGCAGTAAATGACTAGAAAAGATACGGGTGTCGCATGCAGTGGTACACCATAACGAACGGCTGGTATGTGACATGCTCCTACAGTTTTCATGCAAAAATATAGTTACCACTCCCCCTGCCAGTCTTAGTATATGTTATACTTACTGATCGTGCTCTCTGGCAGGTTAGGGCGTGTTTTTTAGTTTATCTTGCTATTGGTCTTGATTCTTCGCACAGCTACCCGAGGAAGGTGACGAGAAGTGCAGAAATATATAAATACCAAGTATGTTCATACCGTAGAGATCCTAATCGCGTGCAGCTCTCAACGGCCATGTCTCAGTGCATCCAATACACGTGACGTCTTCGCGCGAACATATTGATTCGTCCCAAATATTCGTTATTGATAATATATGCTTAAAATTTGAATCTCTGCGAACAGAAACGAAATAAAGAACTGCAAAACGAACAGCTCACAAAATAAACCGAGTAATCAATGGAGAGAGCAAATCTATAAAAGCACGCGAGTGAAACGGTATAGTAAAATGCACACAAACACATACATAGATTATGTGTAACGAAATACAAGTAGTTAACATTGTGTGACTCGACTATAGGTGCGTACATGCCTCGCGAGTGAATCAGTGTGTATGTGTGTGCATGCGTGCGTGGTGCGTGCGTGCGGTACGATTATTTTGTCTATATACGAATATATGTTTTATGGTTGCATGCTTCTCGGTGGGGGTACATCCAACGTTTCCGAAACTATAGCCGTACATCCTTCCCTTGTTTGCCTGTTGCGAAAGGTCCAGCCACTATTTCTGAGATGGCCCGAAAGATTTTGATACAATTTATTTAAATTATTTAAATTTTTTATTTAAAGACGTTGATAGCAAATATATGCCAATAACGTCGGTCAGAATATCTCACTCGTCATCTTCAATGGCATAGTACCAATCGGACTGCAATCAAAGAGACTATTCAGAACGGCTAGATCGCTCGGAACTGCAGCGCTGACACGATTTTGGCCCGGTTACGTAGACTGCTGCGAGCATTCTGTAACTGAGACTGACTCTTGGATGCACATCGGGACGTACTGAGAGAGCTCACACGTACACTAGAGCGCTGATAATGTGACCAGGAGAAATAGCAGGAGAAAAATTGGAGCAGCAGCAGCGTCAGCGTCAGAAGGAGGAGAGGGCACAGAGAAGAAGAATACGATTATGGGAGGAGCACTTTGCGATTTGGATGCAAAATCTACGAGGGCATTGTTAGCGAACAAATCAGGTTCGATAACGCATGCGAGCGTGAATAATGTAAAATAGCAAGATTATTATAATTAATAATAAACAAGATTTGATTACATGGGAAATATAATGGAGATAATTCTCATGCATAGTGATATTCACATGCCCAGCTACCTTGCCATCCGATATAAACATTTGCGTCTATGCCTAAATACTTTCTTAGGCTATGATTATATGTCGCCTAGACCATGTGTATCCACGGTACATATAAAGAAAATTCCGTAGTAATTACTAGTCTGAATTACTAAATGTTTCACCATGTAACACACGTCTACAAAGCACCTTGTGTTTCATAACTCTTGTATATTTATCAACAGAAAACTAGGAGATATTTGTTGCTGCCAAGCTCAGTAATTAACATTCACTAACTCACAAATAACACTCGCCGATTCCACTAGTTAAAGAATCGCTGTTTTTCTATCCAAAACACAAGGTGATGACGAATAGAGCTAAGTTCGTTGATACTGTTATGAAATAATGCTCAAGAGTGTACGATAATCCTCGGAATGGGGACGGAGGTCTCAGATTACAAAGTGACTGTCGTGTACTCCTCTCAGAGGAAAAAGAGAAGAAGAAGGAATAAGAAGAGAAAGAAAAAAAAGAGGGGGAAAAAGAAGAGAAGACGAAAAAAGAAGAATGAGAAAAAAGAAGAATAGGATTGTGTAGGAAGATCATGACCAAGACGACGACGACGACAAAGAAGAAGAAGAAGAAGAAGAAAAGGAAGAAACAAAAAAGAGGCGGGAGATAGATACGGTCTTAGCGCTCCAGTCTATATCTGATTAGGATCGCTACGGCACATACCTGGTGCAGGATGCTGCATACTTGCATGCCCGATCCCTCCAGCATCGCCGAGTCGGTGCGATTTAACGTACGCTTGCTGCCGACAGTCGGCTGTCGCTCGAGCACCGCGGGACATATGGTCGTCGGCGGGAGAATGTGGTCCTGCACGTCGCCGAACGAGCACTCGGGCTTTAGGTGAGACGCGCACTTGTTGTGTAGCTGCAACGGGAAGAATGAAACACCGCCGATATATTGCGCGTGCACCTCTCGGTTTCCCACTCGCGTACACTGCGAGAAATTTACTATATGAATGCGAGGAAAAACGTTCGCAAATAAACGATTCCGCGGATAAATATTTCCTTCGTTGGGTTAATTACCGCAGAAAACGCGAAAATTCGGTACACTAACAAGAGTGCGAAAATAAAAGCGTCAAGGAACGGAGGTGCCAGTATGGCGCATCACGGACTTCCTAACGGGTGTATTCCAGTGTACGACAATACGTACGCTGCACGGAGGAAGCGCTCGGCGCTTAAAACGTCATTATACTCCTCACAGAGAACTATAACACATCACATTGACGCGGGCCTCTGCATATTCTGTCTGATAATTCTTTCACGGGAAGAAGAAGAAGTAACAAAAACGCAGTTGTAGTAGTAGAAGAAGCAGCAGAAGAAGAAACTAATAATAAGAATAAGAATACAATGTTCATGAGGCACAGCGACTGATCGAGCTCGCAATTAGCTTGTAGGATCAGTACTCACCGTGATCTGGCACCAGCAGCAGTGCAAACCCGTCACGCCGTTGTAGCTCTTTATAGACTTTTTACATTTATCACACTTCCCTGGACAGTTTCCCTCAATCCAATGATGATTCATCACCTGTGGAGAGGAGAGCTGCAGACGATCGCACCGCGAGAAGAAAAAACAGGCAAAACCTTCAATATACCACTACTAACAAACTGCGTCATTCTCAATCATTATTCTCTCTAGTGAGAATACGCATGATATACGATAGTGGTAAAAGATCATAACACCACAGAATGACATAAAATACAATATTACTTGCAATACACACGATAAATATTTCGTGCACGATAGTGGTGAATGATGATAATAGTAATTCCCAATTCCAACTAATTAACCGTATATGTTGAACAGTGTAATACGTACGAAAACCAAATAACATACGGTGTTAGTGCACGATAATAACAATAGCTGTGATATAATATACAATACAATATTATTGTTAGTAAAAAGCATGAATACTAGAGAGACGGGGCGAAAAAATTAACGATCGCAACGCAAACGATGTAACTATAGCGTCGATGTTTATGGTCGTTATTAGACCAGCGACTTGTTCTGCATTTGAGTAAAGAGACAGCGAAAATCCTCTCAGAAGGAGCGCTACCTAGATGATAAACTAATTGAGCCGAGCCGTCCACGCGTATACTCTGCGTTATCCGACATGCACGGACAAGTAACGGAAGCCTCTCGGGTTATTTAGTGTAACTCAGCTTCGTAATTCCCATCAGCAGGCTCACAAATTTCACCTATAATAGCTACGGGCTTGATCGTTGAGCTCGTTCGGCCGTACATGTAGCTACATTCGTGAGCGGCGGCAGCAGCGGCAGTGGTCCAATTGAATTTTTGGCACGAATCCGGCGTAACGAGCGGAGCCGATCGCTCATCTTCCCGCGCGGCCACAACGCCAGAGATTGGGATTAATGCCGTAATTCTCTTTCCTTGCTTTGATTAGGCGCTGGGAAGACCGGAGGAGGAAACGAGGGGACTGGCTGCTGCGTATTTCATTATTATCATCGATGTCGTATATCGATTCATATCAGCAGATACGATAAAATGATAATAATCTGCTCATTGAGTTAGGCACTCCCTCCAATTCATCATGATACGCAATGACGCAGCTTTCCTAGAGTCAGGTACTCAAGAAAAAGGCGAATAGTCGATCAATTCTAATTTCCACACGAAAAACCCAAAACAAGTATATTTGCGAGAGTAACTATATATATGTGTGCGCGCGCGCGTGTGTGTGTGTGTGTGTGTGTGTGTGTGTGTGTGTGTGTGTGTGTGTGTGTGTGTGTGTGTGGGGGGGTGGGTGGTGTGTGTGTGTGTGTGTGTGTGTGGGTATATAAATATATATATATAAGCGCATACCTGTGAAGTCTTTTTGGATTTTACGTAGGTTCCGATGCAAGAGGCAGGAGCTCGCTGTACGCATCGCTCATGGACTGTATATTTACAAACTGTAAAACCAGGAGAGGAAAAGTCATCTCCTATTCTTCGCTACAAATCCATGCGTATTTAATTGTTGACAAACGCGAACGTAATTAGACAATCGAATCGAGCAAATGACCCGAGAGATGTAGTCCACTCTGCTTTCATTATCAATTTACTAATAATTAAAGTGGCGTAACATTGTTCTCCAAGCACCAACTACCGCGCCACTTATGCATAGGGCCGCACTGCCAAATTTGAGAAATAATGTTAAATGCAAACTAAAATAGAATTTCATGTCGCTCTCTTTATAGTAGTTCGGCGGATAAGCACATAAAAAGGACACATTGTGCACTAATGGATGTGCATAAGAAAACCTGTGATTTTCTAATTATGTAACAGTATCAAACCTGTCCCAAAAGTACCCACTATGTACTCTAAACTTTAAAATATTTCCAAAACAGTTCTAAACGACGTACAAGTGCAAGTTAAGCCCTGCTTGCCGAAGCCAACAAGCATGTTGAGGCAAAGGTTGCAGTAGGCAGGCTTGTTGAAGTGCTTGAGCCGCCAAACGTGGTTACCGTCGTCCTTTATGACATTCTGCGTAGTATAAAGAAATTATGTAGTGTCATGACAATATATATTCTAGCATTTCATAATTTATATACATTAAGGTATAGTCTAAAACATGCAATAAAAAGCTGATAACAGTATTATTTATTATAATTTATTAATTTTATTATTTAAAAAAATATTATATATTATTTGTAAATGTATTTTAATATTATTAATCATTAAAAGGTATTATTAGCACTTGATACAATCAGGAGTTAATGAAGACAAAGGTTTGTCTTCATTAACTCCTGATACAATGTAATACATTGTAATAACGGTGAAATTAACAAGTATGCAGGGCCGGGTATGACAGTGACACCCGTTATGGTGGCCTATGGCATTACCAAGTAATCTGAACCGTAATTAACGTACTCCGGTTATTTTTTCACTTAAATAGGATATATATATATAAATGTGTGTGTGTGTGTGTGTGTGTGTGTGTGTGTGTGTGTGTGTTGGGTGTTGTGTGTGTGTGTGGTGCGCGCGCCGCGTGCGTGCGTCGGTGCGTCTGCGTCTGCGGTGCGCGCTACATGTGTGTGTGGAGTGCGTATATATATATATGTATATACACGCCGGCATTGCTATTTCATCACGTTCTAATGTGAAAATCAGTTACGTCGTTACTAGAATGAGGAAGTGTTTCTTTACAGGCTCTTTCCCTGACGACGCGGACCACACCGTATATGCACGATATCTATTTCCCTGTAAACATCATGCTCTTCGCCAATGGGGGAGGAGCAGGAGGTGTTTCGCCCTCATTTGATGATACGAAGAACAGGATGAACACATGCCGGTGAGAAAATCTTCCCCTGAGAAGCGCATCAGGTCAAACAAAGAAGCGTGACACGTTGCCCCTCTTTGAGGACTTTGCAAACCAAACGGAATTTGATAGGTACGGCAGAGCCGTACATTGTATCACCAGTGGCGTGACGTCGCCCGATTCAAGAAGGCACGCGTGGAACCAAGGTAATAACTCGACGAAGTGTTGCGTAGAGAGCGCTGTTAATAGCTGTTATCTATAGCACGGGGGTCAACACTCCAGAATTTGCTTTTATCACAGATGGCTACTCAATAGAGTTAATTCCCCATCATCAGTAAGAATCCTTCGTGAAACTCGTGTGTTAATATTTACACGGCTACCCGTCCTACTACTAGGGTATACAACGTATATTGCGACTGGTGGAAAACGGGAATGGAAAACTATATAGGAAAACGGGGTGGGAATTGGCATCCCATGTCAAGGCCCAGACGTACGAACAGGTTAAGGATTAAGGGTTAGCGTTTAGGGAAGCGGAATAGGCAGAGATGAGAGAAAGGAAAAAAACCTAGAGCGCGCCGAAAGACAGATGAGGGAGCGCACGCCAGAGAGAGAGAGAGAGAGAAAGAGAGAGAGAGAGAGAGAGAGAGAGAGAGAGAG